GTGCTCAAAGTGGTCTACCGCTTGCGCCTCTTTTTTCCATCCCCAAATGAGATCCACTCATGCGCGCCCCGTTCCTTCCCTTTTTATGTAGCATCGGTTTTTCCTCACCCGGACTCCGCTATCCGCGATTAAGATAAGATCCCTCTCCTCCAACTGCTCCCCCCTCACCCCTGTCGAACCATGGAAAAGGCCATTAAAGAACGCATCGAGAAATGGAAAAAGGAAAATACAGCTGATGGAGAGGAGGCGACGAACGAAAACGCGTATGAGAACCTGACGGAGCTAATCCTAGACGGAAAAAAGTTCAGTGCAATCGGGAGCGAAGACGTAGCGTTGCTAAACAAATTTACTCACCTAGAAAGACTAAGTCTCAACCAAACAGGAATACAGACCTTGGGGAATCTACCAAAGATGGAAACCCTAAATGTGCTAGAGTTAACGGACAATCACCTAAGCACAGCTGATGTGTTGAAGTACATTGTGGAGACATTCCCCAATATAAAGACACTAGAGATTGGAGGCAATCATTTTAAAAATATAAAAGACTTCGAAGTATTGAAGGATTTAAAAAACTTAAGTCGTTTAGGTGTTCAGTTTAACCCATTTGCAGATGACCCTAACTATCGCAAAGAATTATTTACCTTCCTACCTAATATTAAAATCATAGACTGTTACAACAAGGAAGGAGTGGAAGTGTTAAGCTCTGATGAAGAAGAAGATGAAGAATATGAAGAAGATAATACACTGAAAAATTTTTATGAAGCTGATTTTAAGGAAGAAGATGAAGATGAAGATGAGGAATTTCTTCCTAATGACAATGAAGACGAAGATGATGATGAACTGGATGACGACTTGGAGGAGGAAGAGCTCGACGATTTAGGCAAAGAAGATTTGGATAAAGACGATTTAGATGTGGAGACAAAGGATACTGAAAATCCTCAGAAGGAAGAAAAAACCAATAAGAGAAAACAGGACGCCGTGGACACTACCGATGAAACGGATGTCAAAAAGACAAAGGTTGAGTAGACCGTGCGCTGAATCTGCTAGGGAGGTCCACCCATGAAAAGGTGTGTCATGGAGTTACACACCATAGTAGCAGGTGTGCTGCCTGGGGGCAAGGCAAGAAAAAATAATCCTCTACCCTCTGACGAAATGGCTAAATTTGTTCAATCACTCCTTTTATGAACAATGGCAAAATGTGTGCACTTCAGCCCCTGCACGTTAATTGGTTCTCTCCGGGGCTCAGCTCATCTCACGGTCTCGCCCCCGCACACATACACACATGCATATATATACATATATATATATGTATATATTTACCCATACAGATGCTTACCACGTGAGAGCACCCGTATGCTTTTTTTTTCTTTTTTCGCCATTTAATAAGCTTTTAAAATGTTGCCAAGGGGGAAGGCACACGCGTTTACACCGTGTTTACTTGGGCATCCACACGTATCGTCATTTATCCATACATTTTGCATAGCCACGGCACTCATTTATGTAGCCACACATTTATGTAGGCCACTCATATAATAACCACCCATTAATGTAGTCACCCACCTATGTATCACCCATTTCCACGTCCGTGTGAGCGCATACAGACCACTGCGCAGAATCGGGGGCTAACACGTTCTGAAGGATGGCGAAGCGTGCGCGCACACACGTATCGTGGGAGCGTCCGAGCGTGCATATGCGCTTGGGGACCGGATCAGCCGTACGGCGCTTTTTATTTTAAAGTTCCACACATGGATATTCTACGCACCATTTCCTGTACGCCCATTTACCATTATGACAGCGGCATTAAATCGGCGCCATTTTTTAAAAGTGCTAAGGGGATAGAAGACTCCCATATAGCGCGTTTGGAAGTGCTGCCGTGAAGCAGAAAGGGCAAGTAAAGAGTAATATTTCCTTAGTGTAAATGTCCAGAGAAATAACCGAATAGGTGGGCTATTTGGAAGATGTCGCGAAATGAGCAAATGTGTATTCACCTCCGTCCGTGCTCCATGCCCTTGAGAACTTCACTGCGTAAAAAATGGCGCACTTTGACTGCTGAGTTGGCTTTGGCGAGGGGGCCAAACACAGGGTCGCGATAAAGTGTACCCCATTTGTGCACCTCCCCCAGAAAGGAAAGAAAAACTCCATCAGCAAGTTAACCTCTTCCCCCCATTTCGAGTATAATTACGCGTGGGAGCAAATCGACCCCAAGGATTCCTTTTCTCATTTTTGGTGGAATGGTTCCCCCCTCGTTTTTTTTTTTTTTTTAAAGAATGTCCATGAAAAGGCTACTACATAAATACATACATAAAAAAAAAAAAAAATTTCACCACCATATGTAAAAAGCAAACTGGACGAAAATTATGTGCAACTTTTCCCTGTCATCATGGCTGTAGTTTCACCTATGAGGACATAACCGGTCATAAATTGAGAAAAAAGAGAGAAAAAAAAATGGAAAGCTTCAACAGTGGGAAGAATGTCCATATAGATTTCCTGGAGCCAGCAATAACAATCAGCGTGATATTTATCTGCTTGTATATGATTATAAGTACGGATAATCCTGCACACTTACTTATTAGGAGTTTTTTCTTCAAAAGCAAAATATTTATGTGGGAGGTAAAAGATATTTTTACCAACATCAACTTTTTTGCTCTTACATTTTCTTCCTTTTTTTTTGTATCCTATTACATTTTGCATGTGTTAAAGTATGAAAGGGTGAAGTCTCTTTTCTGTGTCAACTACGACTACTACGACAAGATTCTTCATTACAAGTGGAAGGACATAAGCATCACGTCTCTGTTTCAAAACGGCATTAGCGAAAAAAATTACTTGGTTAACCTTTTATACTCATTTAAGTTTTTTTTTAACATCTTTTTTTTAAATGATGTCAGTTTGACCCAAACTGTGTTTACCTTCCTCTTCATATTTGTCCTTTTGTCTCTATATGCGAAGCAAGTCAGTCGGGTAAGGCCTGCAAGGTGAGGGGGGATGAGGAATCCAGTTTGTTTCTTTCAATCTCTGTGTTTAGCTAGCGACGAAAGTGTTGTCTTCCCGTTACATAATTTATGACCGCCCCAAGTGGTTACACCTGTGCAATAGTCACCCGAATACTTATACAAACGATGGCGCTCCCCCTACACACACCCTACCGCAGGTCGTCTTCATAATCAGCACTCTTACAAGCGCAGTTCTCTCAGGATTCATGCTAGTGTTCTTTTTAAAAAAAGTTCTAAATGTTGAGTATAACCATTGTGGCGAAGAAATTTTTTCCTTCCTGTTTTTAATCTTTTTCTATATAACCAATCCATACTTAAGCGTGTTTCAATACAATGACAGAAGTTTGCATCCCTACCACGGTACGGAACTGCGGCTGTACATACACCTGCTCTTCTTTGTGAGATATGTGACTTATGAGGGGAAGTTTTACGAAGTCAAGGCGCTCGTGGCGGTGATCATATGTGCGATTGTGTTTCTGCGGCAGGCCATAGAGAGCTTCGAGGTATGTTCACGAGGGGAATGAGCAGCACAGGGTTACGAGAGCAGCCCACCTTGCTGCTCTGTTACTCCGTCCCTGCCTCCACGTCGTACTTCTGCGGTGACAATTCGCTTCCATTCTGGGCACGCCATTTCTACGACCCCTTTTCCCCAGGTACACACATTAGCGAAGCTCATCTGGCTGGCAGCGTACTACTTCGTTAACAACTACGTGCCCTTCGCGTTCTCTGGAAATTTCACCCTCTCCAAGCTGTTCCATTCTGACGTCGTGGAGATGTTACGGTTAGAAGCCATGGAGTCAGCGGCAGGCGCACATACATGCGTACGTGTATATGCTTGTCTTCCCCCCGAAGAAAGCCCCACTTGAGCGCAACTGATGAAGCCCCATTTCTCCCCCTTCCCCATACAGCAACGAGTTTAAAAACAACATTTCGCTCCACCACTTCAACGTTCTTTCGAGTAAAACTTCGAAACGGGGATTAACCTCATCTCAAGAAAAAAAAAAAAAGAAGCAGCTCATCAGTGAGGCATTTCATCGATGTCATTATCTTTGCCTGTCTTTTTTTGCAGGAATGCCATTCAATTATTTAGTGAGCAAATTTTCCTTCTTCTGGATCCCCTACATTCTGCTAAACAACACCAACAGTAAGGGAGTCAAAGATGGAGTTGTTCTTTGGGTGCATTTAAAAAAAGGATGCGGAAGGAGGGTGACGATTTGCACCCTTTTGCATACCTCCACAACAGGTTACCTTTTATTTTATTTTTTTTTTTTGTTTTTTTTTGTTTCCCTTCCCATCTGTGATATGTAATTTATTTTCATTATTTTAGAAAACCTCAAGTACTTGATAATGCTCCTGATGTCCATCAATTTGATAGCGACCAGTACATATTTGGTAATTCCGGAGGAGGGTGGAGCCAAGGCCCAGCTTAGCGCTCGTTTTGCTGCGATTGGCGACGATATGCTACGTTTTGCTGCGCTTTGGTACGCCTAGCTACCTTTTATATCCCCTTTGGCGCACCGGTTTGTCCCCTCCCGCTTGCAGGCGAAGAACATTTTCCCCGGAATACCTCTCAACATGCTCCTCCTATTCTGCTTAAACAAAATTGGGATTTAAATTTGCCACGGCGGAGTTGGCCTCGCCTCTTTTTCGTCCACTTTTGCGCCGGTGTTTTGGCCCTCCTTTCCCCGCCACGTTGGGTTACGTCCACAAAAAAAATGCAGTTCTTTGCTAAGGCAAAAACTAAGCGTGAAATTTGCGCAGAAAAAGTATGCGCGAGATTTCAGCGCAGGCCTCAGCTTAAAAACAAAAACAAGAACGCACAGATATGTGCAGATGGAGAAAGACGCGCTGCCCATAGCGGTGGATCTAGACAAACACCTGTGTACGACCGCTACAGTACGCCCCGAATGAATGCCTCACCTAAGCTGCAATTCATTTGTATCTTAAAAAAAAAGAATTAAGCAAAAAAAAAAAGAAAAAAGGGGGTGGGGAAGAGGTCGGTCTCCTTCTCTATCCCAAATCTACCTCTTTTATGAACTTACTGTATTCTACGTCTATGTTAATATTTTTGTGGCTAACATTCCTTTCCTTCTTAACTTCGTTAATTTTTGTTTCGCACAGATCGTTTAGTTTGTTCTTTAGTCTTAAATTGATGGGCACGAAATACTGCGCGGTTGGCTGTGGGTCCTCTTCTTGTCGATGGTGCGGTTCCGTCGTCCGGTCCTCTTGATTTCGCTGCCGTGGATAAGGCCGCCTTTCCCCCCGACCACGTTCAGCATAACCACTTAGGTGGGCATTGCCCCCACGCCTACTCTGATCATACTCATCTGGATGACTCACTGGGAAGCCATAGTCTGCCCCGCTAGCCCCCATTCGAGCCTTCTTTGATGCGGGATTCCCCCCCCTACCCCTATTAGGGTTGCTATGCCTCTTTCCCCTATCTCTGTAGTTCCTTGAAGGAGCAACATACCCGCATCCCCCCCTTAAATTAGGAACGCCCCACATCGTCATGTTGTTATTTGTGGGGATGAAACAATTGCCTCGATTCATTTGGCCCCTATTAAAATTGCCAGAGATGTGCGCGTAATTGTAGTAGTAGTTGCTACCATAACTGGGAGCGATAAAGGGGTTGTGCGTGTCATTGTTCGGGTAGCCACTGTAGGGAACGATTGATGGAGACGATGGTGCTGTGTCATCTTTTTCGTTTGATGCTTTGCAATCAATCTCGGCAACACTCAGGTGGCTTCCCGCACCGTCATGGGCAGAATTTTTCTCTCCTTCATTTTGGTTAGGGTTAACACAAATCGCAGGGCAATCCCCATGGGCGTCCTTGGAAGCGTTGACATCCTCTGTTCCAGCAATGGCTAAAGTAGGATCTCCCTCGGGGGAAAACTCCTCTGCATTGCTCGAAACGTTAAATACGTTACTACTCAATTTTGAAGAAGTCGGATCCATTTTGTCTTCACCAGGGCGGGGAAGGTTGTCCTTGCTGCAATTTTCGCTGTTCCCCTGTTTCTGCCCATCATCTGTTGGAATGGCTTCTTCTTTCTTACCTTGCCTATCAAGGCAACTTTTGCTCCCGATCGGATATACATACTGGGCAGGGTACCCAGTGCCGAAATAAAAATTTAGGCCATTTGGATATCCACCATAGTACCCATTATTGTTGTACGGATGACACCCACTGCCCATGCCTGTGGCGTTAAACTGGACAGGTGGCTTGTAACTTGCGTATCTGTTTGCACTCGGGTAGTTATTTACATTAGCATTGGGATAATAACCCTCATTCGAGTATGCATTCATGTTCGGTATGATAAATTCATCGGGTAGTCCTTTTGGCAGGGAGGGTAGGGAGTCCAGGAAGAAGTCCTCCTCCTGGTCTTCCCCCCCTGAAGCTGTTATTAAATCATCACCCTGCCATCCGTTTACGTCACTACTTCGCACGCTGCTTGAGCCATCATTCTCATCGGATGACTCTGAACTCACTTCGATATCTGAGCTGGCGTAGTCGCTTTCGCCGCCAGGTGCCCCATCCTGGCGATTATCCCCAGAAAAGTTGTCTTCACGAGAGAAGTTGTCTTCACCAACAACGTTAGGTGCAGCGTTACCGGCGTCTACATCATCACCGCTTCCTGCAGCGCCTTCCCCGTGCTTTCCACTTATGCTAAACACCACCCCATTGTTACTGTAGAAGTAGCTCCCATCTTTCACCTTTTCCTTTATCAAATTCCACAAAGTTTCATACTGCTTGAGTTTTTTTTTTTCCACATGAAGGAGTTTCCCCTGCTGCTCCCTTATCCTCAGAGCATCTAACTTTTCCTTGACGATATGTGGGTTCTTTGTGCTCACAAGTTTTTCCAGCTGTTCGGACCACTCCTGTGTTTTTTTTTTTCTCTCTTTCTTCTTCTGTTGCTTTCTGTAGACATCCGTTGGAATTTTGCTTTTTTTCACCGTGTCTTTGAGCATTTGGCTGCGCTTCATCTTGTCGGAAGGGGGGCGGGTACACCAAAGAAGCGTTCCCACGATAACACACTACTTTTTATGCACATTTATTTCTAAGCGCCTTTCCAGCTGTCGTGACGACTGGACGGAGAGGTTCTATGCGCACATAACCATGTATAGGGTGCGCACGTCTGATGATACTTACGGATGAGTTTCGGTATTTTTTCCAAAGTTGGTGAAGGGGATAAAATTGCCGTCTTATGGCACGCCAAGAAGCCTGCAACAGACTACACTCACATACGTCTACACGTGGGATGCTATCCCCCCAGTCGCCTTCTATCTTGGGATTTTAAAAAATTCAAATAAAAGAGGCAGCACGCATCCCGTACTTGCCGCTACAAATGACACTATGCATAACAGCGGCAGAGGTGGGAGTTGAAAAGAAAAAAAAAAAAATTGGGGATGCAAAATTTTCGGAGTAATAGCTACTTCACGAGTTTTCCTCAGCTCGTTTGCAAAGAAGATATATAAATGGAGGGAAGTTTTTTTTTTTTCTTTATTGCTTATTTATGGAGATGTACGCGATGGCAAACTCTTCTTCTTCAAGTGGGCATCTCTGTGGCGTGGGCCTTTTGCCCAGGGGAGGTGACTAATTTTTTTTTTTTTCTTCCGTAAATTTGTACGTTCCATATGGATGCGTTGGCGAAGTACGCGCGTGAGTACGGATGTACTTAAGAAGTTGAGCGTATGAACGCTGCTCACACTTTCTGTTCCCCCACGTTGCGTATATGCGCATGCAAGTAGGCAATTCTTACGTACAAAATAGGCAAATTTTTGCCACCAGGAAGCCACATTTTTACGTGTAGTGGGGGCATACACATATATATTCCCACATGAATATATATGCTTCAAATGGGGCATAATTTTTTGGCCTGAGCAGGGGGTCATTACATTTGGAAAAAAAAAAATGCGAAAGGGTCACAATGGCTAAATTGCTGAATCGCCCCAGTGCAGAAGACTTTTTTCAAACTCCAATTGTACGCATTGCGCGAGTATGCTACTGTCACATTGGTTGTTAGAACGCCATTGTTTTAACTACCCGTTTGGTGAATGAACAATTCGTCGCTTCCTTTCAGATTAATCCAAATATGCCTAATTTGTTGCCAATTTTTTTGTAAACACGATTTTTATGTCCCCATTTGGTATTCTTATTGTTCCCATTCTTAATTTTGTTTTTTTTTTCTTTTTTTTTTTTTTTTGTAAAATATAGTGTCCCCTTTATGCAGTGCCATAGAGGGAGAAGTCTCATAGAACTTCGCTTTGCCCCTCCCCCATCCACCTCGTTTGACATTTACAGTTTTAATTCGTTGCCATGTGACGAACTTCCGTTTGGTATGCATTCATGTGTATACCCTGTCAAGATATTTTACGTGCACGTGTGGGATTTTTTTTTTTTTAATGTGCAACTGGTTGGTTGATCTTCCTTTTGGGAAAGAGACACTCCTGGCGCAGATTGCGCGGTATTGATCTGTCCATCCGGTTGCCTGCACGGACATAAATTGGTGGGGTCTGAAATGACCATGGCCGCGCCTGTCCTTCTGTGTGTGCTCGGCCAAACCTTTTGAATACGTACCTGTGCACACGTCACCACTTAAACTTATGTAACCCTCATTCGGCGCACACGACGGTAGCGCGGATCACGAGGGGAACAGCCAGTTGGAATCCTCTCAGTTTTTCGGACACACGAGTGCCTTAAGAGGCATGGCCAGCTTCGCGCCAACCCTTCCCCCACAAAGGCAACAAAAGGGAAAATCATACTCAAGGACATACATACCAGTGTAGGCACAAATGTACGTACTCCATGGACACAGATACACATGTATGCGCTCCCCCCATCCCCCTGTGACAGATGCCACAGGAAGAGATCAGAGCCCAGGGTAATCAATCCCGCCTCCCCCGAGAACAACCTTTAACAATTTTCACTTCCAAACACAATTGAATAAATGGAAAAAACGCAGACGAACACCAACGAGGATGTAGGGAAATGGAGGAAATGGGGCATGTCAATAATCATCAACATGATTCACAACGCCAAAAATTTATTCCCCCAAAATAATCTGCGGTATACCTACATAAACACATTTATGTTGTGTCTGTTCTTTACCTTTATACATAAATACCTCGACCAGACTCTGCCCTCCTTGTACAAGTCCATTGAAAATGACTTCAACATTGATGTGAAAACTTTGTACTATGTGAACAGCATGTACAAGTTGGCCTACTCTGCCTTCAATTTTTTTTTTGCGCTTTTTTTTGATTATTCTTTTAAGAAGATATTTTTCGTGAAGTATGAGAAGGTGTGTGCGACGGAGGACGGCGCCAGCACGATTGGCAACGGCAATGGGAAGAGAAGCGACAGCACCAACAAGGACAGGGTTGGAGGGGTGGATAGCGGTGTGAGTGACACCCATTACGAAATACAATTCAAGGGTGAGGGCGCAAACAAGGCGACGCACCTAAACAGCAGCGTGAAGATTGTGGAAGAGGAAAAAACACCTAATGGGGGAAAAAAGAAACATAATAGCACGTACTTCAGCGACGAAGTTATATGGGGTGAATACAGATACACACTCAACATCCTCGTTGTCTCCTCCATCGTCTACGTCGTAGTCATCTTGGGCATCATGCTGTCAAATAATCTTCTATACTTTTTTTTTTTTATGTTTATTATGGGCATCAACAACTCATGCATATACATTTTGATTCAGAAAATTTACACCAATAACGTTTTTAGTGAAAACCGAAGTACCATTTTTGGCTTCCTTCATTTTTTCTCCTCCCTTTCGCACATGCTCTCCATTTCGATAAACACCAACCTGAGCAATAAGTTCTACTTGGGATTTAATGGGTGGCGAATATGCTACTTCGTAATATCATTCTTTCCGATCTGCGTGTGTATATACCTGATAGGATTAATCAAGCAGAAAAAATTCCACCGCAGCAGAAGCAAAAATTACAGCTTCAGTTACTTGGTCTCCTTCGACAATATGACGGATGTCTGTCAGGAGAGCGAGAAGGAGGGTAATTACTGCAAAAGGGAAAACGACAAATTGGAGGGTCTCCACGGTGCAAGTAAGGAGAGGCGAGAGGAGAAGAAAAAGAAGAAGAGGGAGGAGAAGCAGCAGCAGGGGGAAGAAATTTTACTTTTTAACGCAGAGGAGGATAAAGACTCTATGAAGGGCAATTGTAGGGAATCCAGTGAAGAGGTGGAGGAGGTGCAGAATCAGGAGCAGATGCTTCATTCGGAGGAGGGAGATCAACAGCTACCCTTTCGAATGAGCAAAAGTTACGACAACACGTATGTGCTACATAGGGAACGGCTGGCCAATATATCCAAAACGAGCGACGGCACAGCCTCCTTACATAATTCAACAAAGTTGGGTGTAAGACACAGCGCAAGCACGAGTGATGATTTTAACACCATTAGTTTAATATCGACCAACGACAGGATAAAGAGTAATCTTATTAAGCGATCCTTTTGCCACATGGCTACGAAAAAAGCCAGTCCCCAGAAGGGTGCCGCGCTAAATGTAGACGCGAATAGGAGTAGCAGCGGGGAAAGTGCAGTTAGCAGGGAGGGGGACTACACCACCCCAGGAAACGGAAACTATTCCAAACAGGGAAAGAAACATGTGAAAGATTCGAAGAAGAAGAAGAAAAAAAAAAACTCGCTGGAAGATGATACGAATGAAACCACATGGAAGGGAACAACAACCTCCTCCTCCATTTTTGCAAAGCCAAATGAAGAAAGAGAAAAGTATGAACACAGAGACGAATTGAACAATCTACTAGAAGAAGATGAAAAGGAGAAAGATAAAAAGTTGAAGTATGAATTTTCATACCTATACGAAATTAAATATGTTTTTAAAAATTACAGCTTCTGGCTGATGATCACAATGGGAATGTTAAATGGAATCCCAAAACATGTGCTAAGTTTAATGATTTATTTTTTTCAGTACTGTAATATATCGGATTTCCGAAGTGGCCTGATTATCTCCCTAAGTTGGCTGTGTGCCAGCTTAATTTCTCCCTTCATTGGGATTATCAGTGACTATATTTATAAATTGAACAAAGACATAAATCGCCAACGGATAGGAATGTGTACACATTGCTTAAGGATCATCTTAATGTTCACGATGTTTTTTTTTGTGCCGAAGGAAGCAGATTCTTTTATCTACTTTGTTATCATTTCTCTCTTTATGGGTATTTTAAGTGGGTGGATAAATATAGGCACACATAAGCCCATCATAATTGACATTGTCAAACAGAGACACACTGCTTTCGTCATGGCGTTGATGAGTGCTTTTGAGAACATCGGCTCTTCCATCATCGGCACTTTCTTTCTCTCCTTCCTTCTCAACCAATATAACTACATCGACAAGAGGAAGCTCAACAGCTTCCACGCGAATGTCAACAATGTGGATGCCCATGTCAACAGCGTGCACGTCAATGTCAACAAACACAACGTCCACGTTTTGTCCGACGTGTTGTTAATCCTGACGTGCTTCCCCTGGTTAATATCCTTTTGCCTCCTCTACGTGCTGAAGTTTACCTACAAGAAGGATAAGCTGTACAACAATTTGTTTTAGCGGGTCGCGGCGTGTAGCAGCGGGGAAAAATTTTTTTTCCAGCTAGCTAACTAGGAAAAAATAAACAGCAAAAGAAGAAGCGGAAAAGGAAGCATAAGAAGAAGCAGAAAAAACATGAAGAGACCACCAACCGCTCGCCCCATTTGTTCTCTTCCTTTTCACCCCATTTTTCTGTGAGCAATCATGTGGTCCCCAGGGGCGTTTTTTTGTCAACTCGCGCTTGCCAGTCCGCCGTGCCACACGGCCGTCCGCCCCAATTTTCGATGGCGCGAAATGGGTGCACAATACATACACGTACATAGACTTACACTTACATGCACGTACAGGTGTGTGCCTATATGCTTATTTCCATGCTGCCACAATGCCCACGTGCTGCCCACTCCAGGCGCATTCAAATTTGAGGCCACCCTTTGGGGTGGAGCAAAAAAAATGTCTCCACATATGTTTATGTCACTTTGTCAATCTTCCCATTTAGAAAAAAGTTATAAATTTTGTTGTTTTAAAAAATGTGTAGTTAAAAAAAAAAGCAGAAGAAATTGATAAAATGATACCCATACATAAATTAACAAAATAAAACAAGCGTACCGTTTCCGTTTTGCTTTATTTATATACTGGCAGTTCTTGCGGGCGCGGAGTTGCTGTGCGTGCATTTTGCGCCGGGGCAAGATGGAAGTGGATACCGACGTGGCAATCGACGTGGCTATCCGCGTTGCAATCGACGTTTCCACCGATGTGGCTTACCACTGCTGCCATCCCTTTCGCGCATTTGCTGTATGGACCTAACAATTGGCTATCACTCGCGCGATTTCAAAAAGCACACGGGGGCGTGAAACGTTTCTGGTGCATTTGCTATTTAGTTATGATTACAATTGAAACCGGTCTTGCGGCTGTAACGACTGCTCCGTTTATTACAATTGCCTCCCCAGGGGTGCACTCCTTTCCTTCAAGCGTCGCGCTCCAGGCCCGCCGCGGCTAACGAGAGTGGGCTCAGTTCTCCTGGGACGTTTCCTCGTTGGGCTTCCCCCCCTTGGCCTTCTTCTTCTTGGGCGTGAGGGACGTAGTCAGAATACCCTTGAGAGCCTCGTCCTGGATCTCATTCACCGTTTTGCAGTTATTCAGTTGAGAACACTTGATACCAGTGAGCTGCTTAATTCCTTCTTCCTTAACCATAACGGTGTACTTAAACTGAGACACAAATTCCTTTTTCTTCTCCGTGTAGACATTGTACGGTTTTATTAGGTCATGCCTTAAGGCTTCGGGGATACCGATGAGAGCGGCTCGCTGATCTTCTACATGCTTCACATGGAAGGGAAGGACGGGGAACTTTTTATTAACCTCGTTGATGAAGGATCTACCCAAATTCGTTTTCAAGTGGTAATTCTTTTGCACCTCCCGTTTATAAATAGTCGTCTTGTGGTTACTTTCTTTTATTTTTCCATCCCCTGTCGTGACCATCACGTCGATGATGTATATGTCGTCGGGTTCTATCTGGAAATCTTCCACTTTATTCTCCGGATTCTCCTTTAGCATAATAAATTTGCTTCCTTCCAAGATGTATTTCTTAATCTGGTAAGTTACACAGTTGGAAATTACAGTACACTTTAATTCTTCGCATGCCCTCTGGATAATCTTAGTCACGTCACTGGCGTTTACTCCGACCTTCAGACTTTTCAAAAATAGCTGCGAGAGAGTGTGCGAGTTCTTTAATATTTCCGCCTTGGGGCCTTCGATGACTTCATTTTCATTGCCGATGTGGATGGTGTGCCCAACCATACTAATGTGCCCATCTATATGACAGCCCAGGCATATCTTGACAATGTCTCCACTTTTTATGGTCTCTTCATTTTCGGATGGTACGGGGGAGTAGTTATTGCACACTTCGTTCACGTTAATCGTCACGGGGAAACTAATCCCCTTTTCCACTTTATTTCCTTTTTCTTTTTTTGTGTACACTTTGTCCAGCTCCTCCTTTAGCACTTTCTCTCCAAAGTCACATAGCTCGCCGATCTTGGCACCTGTAGAAAGAGCAGTTATTAACGTGTAACGGTGGCGTCATCAAAAGGAGGGAAAAAATGGGGGGGAGGAATCATCATACGACGGAAACAAACTAGCATAGCAGTTGTGTGTCCCTCTTTTTCCCCCATCACTACGACCTTTCCGCTTGGTTATAGCTACCCGTTCCGCACTTACCTTCTACACACTTCTCGATAATCTTCTTCAATGTGGTGTTCGCGATTGACCCCGAATGGGTATATTTCTCCAAGTCGATCTCTTCAGTCTTCGTGTCTGGTGTTTGTTCCATATTTCTTTGGGTGAATTTTTTTTGTACGTGCTGGACGGAGCCGTTAAGAGGGGCGGCGAAGGGATTTTACAAATAGGAGGGCGCTTCGACTGGGCGGGGAAGTACGTATTTATAGGAGCACTTCTGCGGCACACAGCGGGGCGTTCACCGGCACATCCAAATGTACGCTCCGCTGCTCGTAAGCACGTATTTTCAGAACTGTGGCTGCGGCGCCGGAGGTGGGCTTCAAGAATGTACCCCTATGTAGGGCAGTGAATCAACGAAAAGGAGGAAGTGGCTCTTTGCGTTATTCTCTACACGTTATGTGCCGTGTATGCTATACATAGACCCGAGCGACGGAAAGAATTACAGAGTGTTGAGGGGGGGGGGTAGAAAAGAAAAAAAAAAAACGCAAATGTACATACATGCCACTTGTAACGTTGTTCGCTGTGTGCTGAATGCATGAGTAACGAACAAGCAAAGTCGTAATTGCCGAAGTTGGATTCACAAAGGTTGCCTGAGGCGCGCACCGTGATATACATGAAGTGGTACTCAAACGGTTTCCTTATTTATTTTTGCGTAGCATATGTTTTTACGTCTTTCGCGAATATTGGCAACTTGGCATTTTTGCACGTTTTGCTTGGTTTGCATTTTGGCTCCGTTTACAATTTCAGCTTTCCTCGTATGCAGAGGTTTCAACGGAGTAGCGCAGGCGACACGTACTCCAAATTGCGCAACTGTCGTGACGTTTTTTTTTTTCCCCCTTGACCCTTTGCTTTTCTTCGACCTGCAAATTGTTTGTAACGCTTCTTCGGCCACCCTTTGCATCCCCATTGGGTATGCTTTTTTTTTTTTTTTTTTTTCTCAGTTGTAACGGTGTTCCCTTCCCTATAAGCAAAAGTCCCAATACCCGTGAGCATGCGCCTACATATAATGCCACGCATAAGTAACATCACCACATAGGCACCTCCAAACGTGTCATTGTGCCTTTTTAATCCGACTATGCATTCCCATTTATTTATTTTTTTCTCGTTCCCCTTGGCAGTTTTTTCGTCATTGCTGTGATGCTATATGTATAACACCTCTGCAACGGTTTCTTATTTTTTTTTTCCCCCGCGTAGTTTGTTCTCCAGTTTGCAATTACTTTTTTTTTATTTTTTTATTACCCCCTTCCTTTGTGGTTTATTGTACCGTTCGTCCCCATGTTTTATATACGACGTGCATATCGTGGGAATCCCCAAGAAGCTGTGCAGTTGCTACACCACGCGGGGATGTATGCCTAGATGAAGGAAGAAAGGAGGAGCCACATTGGGGCTGCTTTGCATTTCGTGTTGCCATTCTGCCATCTGTACATCGCACAGTCTAATTTGTAAAAGAAGTGGGGGGCGAGAAAAAAAAAAAAAAAGAGAACAACACAGCCCAGTTGCCACATGAAGTTTGACTTTGATTCGCATGTTGTGGAAAGCCCCACATGTTCCGCCCTAAGATGGATGCCCCCCCTCATGTGTGCATACACTGACGAGTTGTACATGGGGGGGAATTTTTTTTTTTTTCGTAAAAGAAGTAATCGCGATTGTCATATTCGAATTAATTCCTATTTGAGCGGAATGCGCAATGAAGAACGCGCAATGTAGAAATACACCTTCGCAGCTGCGTAGTGGCAAGCTGTTTTTTTTTAAATAGGCATAACTTCTCATGCATAACTGCGAAGGCATAACTACTCGTGTGTAGCTGTTTATGTGCATAGACTTATGAGGGGGGTGGTCGTTCAAGGGAGGAGCCCGATGAAAGGGGGGAAACGGAAAAGGAAAAAACAAAGCGCCAAATGGTAAGCGGTGGATGGTAAGCGGTCGATGGTAAGCCTTACAATAGGTGTCAATCCCTAGGCAATGCCCGATAAAGGGATGGGCACAAAGTTCTAGTGACGCTCGAAGGAGCTAAGCGCAAGAGGCAACAGACGACGCGCGTGCATTCTCAAGTATTGGCCTCATAGTCAGGGAAACATATCAGATCGCCTAGCCGCTCTGCTTGCTGGGAGTAAAAATGAAAAATGAATTAACCCAACTGGGGGGGGGACTAAAAATGGTCACTGTGTGTTTGCTGCGTCTTTGCTTGCGTCTTTGCTTGCGTCTTTGCTTGCGCCTTTGCTGCGTCTTTGCTTGCGTCTTTGCTTGCGCCTTTGCTGCGTCTTTGCTTGCGTCTTTGCTTGCGCCTTTGCTGCGTGGTTGCTACGTGATTGCTGCGTTGTTGCGGCGTCTTTGTTAGCAAAAGGGACGAGATGGCCACGATTCCTGTGGATGCGCAAGTGTACATGGACGCGCAAAAATGTGTAGCCCTCTCGCGGACGCAACTTGAGGAAGCTTCCATTCCATCCATAAGAACAGAAGAAAGGAAGCGCATGATGTGTGTGCCATAATTTGGACAATCCTTTGAAGCCGTAAGGAGGTGTGTGCCACTTGCATGCGTCTAGGAATTAATCTGTCATTGGTCCCCGTCTTCATTTAAGGGAAGGAAAACGCGTCACAATTCTTTCAGCGCTGCATGCGTTTTTTCCTGGCGTGTGTAATTATTTTGAGAAACCGTTTGCAACACCCCAAGGGAGGAGTACACACAGAAAGAACGCATGCACATAGCGGTTCATCCCCCCTACGTTCCTGTTTTTTTTTGGACAACCAGAAGACGGCTTGCAATTGTTCCAATTATCCATTACTGTGCATGCGCTTTTAGTCTAGTGCGTTCTCTAGCATGTGTGCACATTCACTACTAGTTCTGCTCTTCTAGAATAATTCTAGAAGGCACTTCCCCCATGCTGCTAATCACTTTGGCGCAAAGATAGCACGTCTCAGCTGCATGCAATTTTGCGAAGAGGTGTGGCTCCTGAGAAATCTAGCACTCTTCGCAAATTAGGGAAACGCATAGGGCGCCTTGTCTAATCAGGCCCTAGATTTTATCAAAAAAAAAAATAAAATGAAATAAAATAATATAGAATAAAATAAGGTAAAATAAATTAAAGTAAAATAAATTAAAGTAAAATAAATTAAAATAAATTAAAATAAATTAAAATTGTCTTATTTTAAGTGGGGGAAAGAAAGGAGGCGGTTACTTTGGAGCTTCCCAGTTTATTTTTCCTTCATACAGCTGAATTTTAAGTGTCTTTTAGCTTAACTTATTTTAACCCTAATTTTTTTAATCTCTCTTAGCTTATCTTAGCTTAACTTCGCTTATCTTAGCTTACATTATCTTACCTTGTTTTGAGTTCCCCCCTTCACTCCTGCGACCGCTTTACCGCATTGCTTTGCTTCCTCTTGTCCATTTTTGCCTTCGCCCTATTCTGTTACTAAGGCAGTTAAGCTGTTAAATGGGGGCGTCGCTATGCCACCACCCTTCTACCCACCCTAAGTGTGGCAAAAACTGCCTTGAAGAACGCCAATTCCCGCTCGTTTAAAACAGACGGACATTTTTGTGTTTACCTGTGAGTGTATGGTTACATCAGTGAGCACAAAAGAAGGTAAAAAATTGTACGCCCCCTTTTGTGAGTGCCCATTTGCACGCCTCCTTCCGATGTCACAGCTGCAAAGAGAGTCCACCTTCCATGCATCGGGCCGGGGAGAGGGGTTTCCCATTTTCCCGAGACAACCTACTTAACCATGTTAAGAAAACCAAAGAGGGATACTCCTCACCGAAGAGCTAACCCGTCCATGCGCCAAATACGCAGTCTGTAATGCCTGTTTGGAACCCCTCGGCGAATGAAACGTAAGTGGAAACCTTAGCGAGTACCCACAAGCATAAGTAGATATAACCTGACGCAATTATGTCAAGGGGTTACACCTGGGTAGACCTACCTACATGCCTGAGCATACCCCTCGGTACAACAGATTATGCCTTCTTTTCATCACCGCACTGCGTCTCGTTCCCCATTTTACGAGCCCAACGGGAGGCACAAACCACCCTCGATGCGAGAGCAGCAGCGAGTACGCTTTCCTGAGGTCTTTACTGGAACGGGGCACGCAGTGAGCACTGTTTTGAAGGTACTACTCAAACCACGCATACGCGTGGGCACGCCACATGCACAAGCATAGGCATGAACACAAAAACACGGACACAGATACAGACAGAGACACACTCATATGCTTCCCCTTACGCGAATGTGGATTGGCCGCCAATAGTGGAAGCGTCCTTGAATGAGGCCCACGCAACGCAGTGGTCCCACCATCGGGGAAAAGCAACCCAACCGGACGCCGCAAAAGAAGGAGCAAATGGAGCAAATGTGTGAAACCTGAGCACACTTAAACATAGACTTGGGGTGGAGAGAAGGCGAATCTGTTTGTGACTTTTATCTGTTCATCGAATTGCAAAAATTTTACTTGGTCCTCCACCCATCTGGGGTGTACAACCGCAATGGGAAAAGAAGAAAAAAAAGAAAGATAAAGATAGAGATAAAGATGAAGATAAAGTCAGTCTACCCATAAGGCAAACGTGAGATCCGAATTCCCAAAAAGTTTCCCTCCCAAATGAAACCCCACTTATTCTCGCATGTGCACTATTGGAGAAGTACCAACCAACCCAGAGAAAGAGGCATTTCTGCAAACTCGAACTGCCTAGTTGAAGAGAAAGAAGCACACTTAGGTGCTTCACACTTTTCGTCGCATTGGCATGGTTCTATGCACTGGAATTTTTTTTTTCTTTCCCGTAGGTTGCGAGTTGTGAGGATGGATTCTGTTGCTGCGACATGATCAGTGCAAGGAGCGCTCAAGTAAAGGGAAAAAAGGAAAAAAAAAAAAAAAGATTTGCTGAAAGAGGGGGAAGCAAATCGTTAGGAAGTGCTAAGCGAATCCGGAAATAATCTTGCACAGGTTACGCATGCGAGCAGCCTCGGGGACTTCGCAAATGACTTGAGACTCCGTGTGCAGAAGTCGACCTGTACAGACACACATGTCCGCGCGACCGTGTGGTTCCCTCATCACAGCAAAGGGATGATACACCCTCGAACATGTGAAGAACATGCAAAAGGAGGAATCTATCCAGCGGAAGATGATAGGGAGCACAACTTCGGGCATCGGGAGAAGAAAAGAAGAAAAAAAAAAAATGCTAAGCGCGATTGTTTTTTCCTGCACTTTTACCTTTCCCTATTTTTGTTGCAAGCGAAGTTGTCGTGACGAAGTTTATATTTTTTTTTCTTCTTCTTTTTTCTTTACAGGTCTGCCCGTGGATCCAGCAGAAGAGAAGCATTTCTGCAACGTTTACAGAAATCTCTTTCCTCGTTTTTTTACAGATGTCCCGTGGATCCAGGGGAAGGCGAAACATCTTACACTACAGCAATTCAGCCTTTTAGCATTTTATCATTTTAGCAGCTTTTGTACTTTTTTTTTGTATTTTTTTTTGTATTTTTTTTGGTATTTTTTTGGGTATTTTTTCCCCTTTTTTTTCGCTTTTTTTTTGCCGTTTTTTGGCTTCCTTTTGGGGGGAACCCGCCAAGACTCCAATTCCCAACCATGGCGGGTTCCATCTCTGCGGAAAAGGAGCAGCCCAGGAAAAGGAAAAAGAAGACGCCCACAAATAGTAAGTATCCGAGAGGAGGACATGGGACACGGAGTACGGGCGATGGTGTGTCACGTCATGGCAGACTCATTGCACCAAGACACCGCTTCGTTTCATACCAGCTGCGTCTCCACTTAACATGTCGCCCCCCCCAGAAGGCAGAAAAATCGAAAAGGCAAAGAACCCGGAAGAGGACTACAAAGAGCTGTACGCGGAGCAGGTCCAAGAGATACTGGCGCTGAATCATATTTACTTCCCGATCTATGTGGAGCGTCCAGGGTAAGTCCCCCTCACACACACAGAGAGACAAGCGGGACATCCCCGAATGGGTGGCAATTCCTGGCTTACGTGTCCCATTTGGAGAGCCTCCTCCCCATCGCTGCTACACGTGGCTCATCCCCACTGCAGACACATCAAGAAAGAGCACTTGCCAAGCGACCTGATGAGCAAAGAAGAATATAATCAGAAGAACATAGAAGTGACCGCGGCAGTAGTTCCAATAGAGATGAACGACGAAATTCACGAGGAGGGCTCCGTAAAGGTTTCCATTTTCTTCAACTACGACAATGACCTGCCCAAGTACAGAATTTCATTCACGTTTGAGAAGAAGTATCCTTACTCCTATCCTAACATTTGCCTACACATGAGTAGAGCTCTGAGCAAGGAACAGACAACTCACCTTTCGTTAAACATAAAGAAGATCTGCGCTAAAAATTACGGAAGGATTACTCTCTTCGACATCTGCATTTATTCAAATGAATATTTCAATAAGCTTCTCAGTCACAACTTTGAGAATCTGTGGGAAGAAATGAAACACAGGATTGATGATAAGAGCAAGGGGGAGCATAGTCTGAATCGACAGACACCCACGTGTTCCGATCGGAACGTTCAGGAGAGTATGACCGGTGCGACTACTACTGGGGGAATATTCATAGGTAGCGGCATCTCGGGGGGAACTGTCGCTGCTGGGGCGCCTAGGTTGTGGTCATACTCTTCGGAATACTTTAGAACGCACAGGGGTGGAGGCACATGGGTGGAAGATGAGGAAAGGAAATACCCAGAGGTCAGAAACAGTAGCTTCAGTTTAGACGATCGGCGGAGCCCCCGAAACAGCAGCTGCGGCACCGATGGGAAGAGTGGCGATAGCGGTACGGGAAGCGCTTCCAATGTACGCACCCATGCCAGCAATATTAGGGACGGTGGCATGCAAGGTAGCAGGAATGCCAGTAGCAGTGCCAGCAATCGCCCCAGTGGCCACGACGTATCCCCCCAGCGCAAGCTTCATCACTCCTCCTTTGAACGGCGCAGCGGCCACCCAGGCCAGAGACACCATCACACACCGCCTACCCAGGGGAGATTCTTCCGAAACATACATGAGTCCAACAGCATCTCGGGATTTTCATCAATCAATAGCTGCGTGGTGGGGGGAGAGGAAGAGCAATTAAATATGTTTACAAAAAAAAGAAAAGAGAAAAAAACACAAGTCCGAAAAATTTTGGAAGATGAACTGAATGGACTAAAAAAAAAAACATTGGAATCCAATGAACAAAGATTAATCACACATGGAGACGGAAGGCTAAAGCATTTCCAGATTCTGAAGAAGACAAAAATAAGTTACTACAGAAATAGATTGCTCGTAAGACACAACATAGACACAAACATGTACATAATTCACACCTATGCCATTTTAGGTGTTTTTGATTTTTTGGCCTTTTTTTTAAACCACATGCTGCACTGCAACAGGGGCTTCAACTTGTTCTGCAACCTCGGTGAGAAGAACGGGCGGGCAATACAAGCGGAGAACGCGGCTGGGAAACACACCAACGCTGCCAACACTGACAACGTGCAGAAGAAAAAAAAAAAAAAAAAAAACGAGAAAAATGAGAAACTCTTCACGGACTTTTTAAAAGACATAAACGAATTCCGCACACATAGGAACAGGGGGAAGCTCTGCGACCTCTCGTGCCTAGATTACTTCTGCAGTGAATACGAGCTATATGCCAGAAAGCATTGTCTAGTCAGCACGGAGAACGAGAAGACGCTGCTACACGTCTTGAGCGAGCTGAACTTCTCGCGATTAAGAAAGGTAGTAAAGCATTTTCGTATGGTCCAGAAAATGAACTTGAAGAAAATTATCCGGGAGATTTTGAGGCTGACGAAAATTCAACACAAGTACTTGGCGAGGTACCACGTCTCCTGGTCGCAGCGGGAACACGCCGAACTAAACGAGGACATCGGTGAGAACAGGGACATGTGCAGGATGTTCCAGATGGTGAAGATACTCATCCTGGGTAGGGTCTTCCGCAAGTGTGAGGTGGGGAACGGTCATGCGCGTGGCGAAACGGAAGCCAAAGATATGCACCTGTGCAGGGACGAACAAGCCAAGCAAATAGAACACCTCTTCCAAAAGGTGCGAAGCAGGAACAACGGCGAAAGTGAGCAAAGCAGGGAAAGAAAAAAGGAAACAAAAAAACCACAAAGCATGGGATGGAGGAGGAGCGCCGCGCGCGATGTAGACCCGTCTCCGCAAAGTGTAAACAGCTTCAGTCGCAGTTACACATTTCCGGATGGGAGCAACCCTCACCAGCACAACAGAAGTGACCAAAACAGCAGCGCCCACAACAGCAGTGACCAGGACGGAAGTGACCACAGACGGATTAGAAGCCCACCAGGGACAAAAGGCAACCCCTACTCGGACTCCCACGAAGAGGAAGAAAGAAGAAGAAGAAAAAAAAAAAGCGACTCTTCCACCCCACTTGGCTTCACATCAACATTAAGTGAAAGCACAAATAGAAGAAAGAGCACATTCGACGGCACGAGCAACGAGAAGGATAACGAGAAGGATAAAGAAAAAGACACTCAAGGGGACAACCCTAAACCCTCGCGCACAGAACGACTGCTCAATCAAAAAATCAAGTTCATGCAAAAGTTAATAAGCAAAAAGGAAAAGAGAAATGATGTGCTCTACGTCCAATGTGAATACTGCAAGGGAGAGATTCTGGAGAAAGAAATTAAAAGAAATTTTTTTCAAAATAATAAGTACCTTATATGGACTGTCTTTAGACAAATTCTGGAGTGCCTAAGTTACCTTCACAAGAGGCACATTTACTTGAAGAATTTAACCACTGGGAATATGTTTGTGCATTTGGATGAATACGGGATTCACATCAAGATTGTTAACTACACTGCGTGCAATCTGATTGACTATATTTATTTTTACGGTTCCTCCTATGAGCGAAACTGCTCCTACATGGCTAATTTTTTGAGACACTTCTACCGCCAGGAGCAGCAGGGACATCAGCAGGGAGAGCGGCGGGGTAACCATCGAGGTGATACTCCACAGCGGAGAAACGCCTCGGGAAGAATCACAAGAGGCCATGAACCGGCAGAAGATGCATTCCACGGAAAGACAGCCCAGAAAGGTACCAAAGCAGACAAAGAAGCTTCCCAAACACAGGGAGGAACACACACTCTGCAAGAAAAAGAAAAAGAAGAAAAAGAAGAAAAAGAAAAAAAAGAAAACCAAAAAGATGAAACAAAGTCGCCATTCTTCGCCCACATGAAAAGCCACATAAAGAAGAAACTTCTGGAGGACCAAAAGAACCATTCCACAAAGAGTCACACATCGCAGAGACAGAAGGAGCAGAATGAATTCTATACACATTCACATAATCAGCACCTGTACAATTGTCTATCTAAACACACGTACAGCTACGAAGAATTGGATTTGTTTTCCCTGGGAATAGTCCTCTACGAACTGTTGCATGTCCCCTTTAAGTCTCAAAAGGAGAAAATGTTAAATTTGAGGAACATGATCGTAAAGAGAACCTTCCCAGAAGATTTTGTTAAACATGCTGCCGACGATGGAGCTGTTAAGGTTTTGAAATTTATTTTAATTAATACGATTAGCGATTGCCTCAAGAAGGAACCCCTTGGCAGACTGCAGTACCCGGAGATTTCAAACCTGAGCGCAAAGACGGACGACTGGAAGTGGAGCCCACACCTCGAAGGCGGCAACAGAAGCGGGAAGAGCAACCGCAACGACAATCCCGGGCGGTTGGCAAGTCAAGACTCCGTCTAAAAAAAAAAAAAAAAAAAAATTTCATCGCCGTAGATAGCGACAAAAAGGAAGTGATCTACTGCAAGGAGAAGTCGCGTCTGACCGGTCAGGAAGTGGAGGAAGAAAAGACAGAATCAAACGAAAAAGGAGAAGCAAACGAAAAAGAAGAAGCAAAAGAAAAACTAGACGTACGTTTTAAAGGTGCCACCTGCGCTGCATGTGCTCCTCTTCCCAGCGGCCGAGCACCGGCTGCCGATTCGGATGCGCCAGACCTATTGGTTAACCCCCCCAATGAATCCCTCAAAGGGGAACTGGAGGCAACAAAAAAAGAGGTGGCCCAAACGGACTTGACTGGGCACACTAGTAACCGTAGGAGCAACTTCATTGGGGGCCCACCTAACAAGACGGACTTGTCTGGAAACTACGACGACGAAGACACGCACGGAATATCGGCGGAGAAGCTGCTGAACTGCCCCCTCATACCCATGGTCATCCAGAGGGACCTATTTAAGTACTTTTTGCAAAAGCTGAAAATAAACTCTCCTGTGGAGAGTAAAAACGTGTTAACAGTTTTGCTGAACAAGGAGAAGGAAGCAAGTGAGGAGAGACTCATGAAGACAAATAGAAATGTGCTGGCCTACACCAACGTCCGTACCTATGAGTATGATGTCATCAATAGCTACGTCTTTGAACACATCGGCACTGTGCTGTCTAAAAAAAACACAACGCATAGTCACCCCCTCGCCTTTCTCTTGCACCCGGGAAGGGGAGCTCCACTGATTGAAGAGACCCTGGAGAACAACCTCGCGCAGAAGATCCCCACCAATTTTATTAAAAGGATGGAAGTGCAGAAGGGGAGAAGTGCGAGGGGGGATAAGAAGGTCTACTACTCGAATTACAAGCCAGCAGGGGGTGGTAAGCATGGCGAAGAGGATGGCGGCAAGCGTAACGGCCAGCAGAGCGGTCAACATAGCGATGACCAGCACAGCAGTGAGCGGGGGGATATTCCACTCGTCCCGCCAAGCAACAGTCCCCCGTGGGAAACAAAGAAAAAGGCAGGGGAAGGAAATAATTTCCCAGTATTAAACCGGTCCAACCAAAGAATTGTTCTTATTGACAAAAACAACAAGCTGCTCTACGTCCCATTTTATCTGACCGAGTCATACATAAATGCAATCCCCCACGGTACCCAGGGAAAGAACTTTAGCAGCTCGTTTTTCTTTTCGCAGAACCACTTTTTGCAAAGCGGTCGGCAGGAGACGGTCCGTCGGGAGAACAGCGTTTTGTACAGCAACTTGGTGCGCGTAGACAGCCGGGGGGACCTTCACTTCGGAGGGGGCACGGTCGGCGGCGCCAGGAAGGTTAGTGGCACCAGGGAGGTTAGCGGCACCAGGGAGGTTAGCGGCGTCAGGAATGGTAGCAGCGCCAACTATGTGAACAATACCGGTGACGCCGACCCTTACGCCCACCCCTCCAACCGCGGCAGTGAAAGTGACGGCTGCGACCCCGCGCCTGGGCAGGAGACGCACGTCAATCTCTCCTTCTGCGTGTACCAGCTGATAACCCTACACAACGTTCTAAGTATACTGCACAGATTTGAAGCCTACTTGGGAAAACTCACAATCAAGTGGTGCTATACACACATGCTCATTCAGATCATCCGAGACGTCCTATCCATACACCAAGACGAAAGAGCCAGATTTATCTTTAACCAGTTACAACAGCCAAACATTAAGTACAAGCATTTTAAAAAGCTGTTGTACTTTCTCAACTTATCCTACGATGACAGAATTTTGAAAAAATTATACTCCGTGGTAGTGGACAAATCGGACAACCTAAAGCAGAGGATGCATAAGATTAAAAAAATGTATTTTTTGTTGGACCATCGGAATAAGAATGCCATTAGCTATTTAGCTTCCACTGTCATTTATCTGGAGAGTTTGTTTGAGCACTTTAACACGTCCAAGAATACATTCCTATGGGACTTCTTCATGAGCGAATATGAGCAAGTGTTTTCGTTTTCCTTCTCCTTTGCTGTTTACTCGGATGCTGATGAGGATGCGCTTCTCTCCATCGGGGGAGTCTCCACGGATGCCTTTCCGCCTTCCGCCGAGCGCCCTCCCAGCGAGACCACGTATAACTTTTTCTACGAGATTTTCGTGGACACCATCTCGGCGCTGATACTCCAGGTGAGCCTCATGACAAAGGACCGACGTAAACGTATGCCATTGTATTTGCTTGCATGTGCTAGCATCTGTTGGCATCTGCTGACATTTGTTGGCATTTTCTCGCATGTGCACACCCCCTAACGCGCTTCCCACTCCCCCCCCTCGCAGAAAGTCCGAAAGAGCAAGTGCGCCAGCATGCCCATCGACTTCCACTCCCCCAGCGTTGTCATCACCACCAAGGCGTACAAGCTGCTCGTGTACGCCTTCTCCCTCTACAACGGCTTGATTCAGAACGGCATCAAGGTAGGGGCATTCGTCACGGAGCGGAGGTCACCCAATGGAAGTCACCGAGTGGGTGTCGCCATCTAAGTGTAGATTTCCTTAATGTGTTCCACCTCGCTTCCTCCCCCCCTTCAGTGCGAGTGCAAAATTACCCCCCTCGTCGAGACGTCCAAATTCGAGCAGGGCCTCCTCAAGTACAGCGACATAAACATCCACGTGCAGATAACGCAAAAGGTAAACTCCAGCACATCGCTCAATATAGAAGATTACGAGCCATCAGCCGAGACCATCACTTCCAACATAGTTGGCGACGAAAACGTAAACATCATGTATAGCACCCACATCATACGCCTGAATATCAAAAAGAACTTCGAAAACGAGTCCTCCCTCATTAACTATATAAAGCAGTTTTACGCGAAGCGCTGACCCATAGTGAGATGACAAAAGGGTTTTTCTTTCGGGAAGTCTTTAAATGTTTTTTTTTTTTTTCCTTCCCCGAGATATCCACGGGCGCAGCCAATTTGTGAGGCCTACGCAAGAGAACGGCTGCTGGTCGCCTTGGTATATAATCCGAACAAGTATTTTTTTATATATATTGTTTGTTTATTTTTTTATTTGATTTGATTTTTTTTCGTGTGCGCGTTCGCCAGTTTGAGGCCCCACAGTGAAGGTACATTCACCTCGCGGTGTGTGCCCAAGGGCCTGCGCCTGCGCGCGCTTCGCGACGGCCGCGTTGGCCGTTCTGTCTCGCTTAGCCGCGTAACAGTGTAACCGCTCAACCGATTAACCGATTAACCCCTCAACCAATTAACCTCTCAACCGATCAAATGCTAAACCTCTTGGCCCATTTCGCTCGGGCAACCCATCACGAAAAGGGGGAACACATGGCTGGCCGTAAAGCCACTCTTAAGGAGTTGGCGTTTTAGGGAAGGCACCAGGGAGGGGGAACTCCTCCAGAGGATGAATCTACCATTGGGTGTGTGTATGTTAAACGGAATAAACAGAGAGGGATGAGTCACGTCCGCCTAAGCACCGCTGCACACCGCAAGTGGCAGTGCGCACCCCGTTGACACTACGTAGGAGATGACTGTCGTAGGTTGCCTTCTCATCTTCAGCTTCTCCGTCTACGTGTCTGGATTCCGCATAGATCAGGTGCGTTCCCGAGGCATAGTGATCGTGCCATAAAGTACACCCAAGGGACCTTAATGGGCAAATTTGTACCCACCCCCGGTGCTGCTCCCACGGTTATTCACCTGGCGCAACGATTACGGAGGCGAGAAAAGCGTTGCAGCACTGTCAGTTCAAAGTTGAGCAGTTACTGCCCCATTTCTGTGGGTGCACGTTCGCCATGAGAACTAGCCAAAATGACACATTAGCATAACTGTTAGTATGTATATATATGTATATTTTTTTTTTTTTTTTTTTTTTTTTTCCCTTTTGGCTAGCTTACCCCATTTGCAAAAAAAGCGACAGCATACCCCAGGGGAATACGCAGAAGGGGCGTCCTCCATCTGCACATGAGGAAAGAAGACCCATCTGTGCAGAACAGAAACTGTATACGCATCGAATTCCGCCCGGGAGTGGGGGGAGAAGAAGCGTTGTTGTGGTCAAGGGAGCTGTTAAATGTTAGTAATGTGCATCAACTAGACAGATATTTCTGTCTGCAGGGATATGTAACGCTCTTGATAAGCCTCCTCTTCCCCCACAAACCCATTTTATAATTCTCTACTATATTTTATCCTATTCACTCTCCTCCTTCTTCCTCCACGTTCAGACGTACAAAACATTTGCGGAGAAGATAAGCTGTCGCGTCGAACGAGTTCACGTAAGAAAGGCGCACTTCCCCACGACAGGAATTCTACGTTTTATGCCTCTCGCCATGCACGTCTTGTGTTGAGCGGTGGGAAGGGGTTTCCCCGGTGGGTGCTAAGCAGCGCAATTGTTCAGTTGTTCAGTTGTGGAGCTGCTCACCTGCTCAGTTGCTCAGCTGTGAAAGAGTTCACTCTTTTGTCGACTCCATTCTGCAGGACGCCAGCGAGTCCCTCGTGGTAACATCCCCATCCGACGTCTGCATAACCAAGCAAGGGCAAGAAATCAAAGCCAGTCTCTATGATCTCTTCAAGAATGAAAGCGGCATCCACCAAGTGAAGAGGGTTCCTCGGAATGAGTCCAAGGTAAAGGATGACCCTCCGTGAAGAAGGCAGATTAGCATTTTTTCCCACATGACGAAGTGTGTGTCTTGTAGTGTTTTTCCTACCCATCTGAACTCTCACTCCTCACACCCTTCCTGCCACCTTCAAAGGGAAAAATCCACTCCTCCACAGCCACGATTGCAGTTTTACTGCACGAAGACGAAGGCAGGAAAGACCAACTCAATTTGAAGGACTTGAAGATTACGACCTTCCGGTCGAGCAAGCCGGGCGGGCAAAACGTTAACAAGGTGCGTCAACCGAGTGCGTTAACACGGGAAGGGCACCATACTGCAAAGTGGAGAAATGGAACAACTGGCGATATGGAACACCTCCTGACCCCTCCCAATTTGACCAACCTTTCCATTTCCTCCACCCCCGTAGATTGAATCAGGTGTGTCCATCCTGCACAAGCCAACGGGGATACAGACCGAATGCCAAGAGGAAAGGTTACACATCGCGAGAAGGAAAAAAAAGGAAAAAAAAAAAAAAAAAGAAACCTTGGTAACGCTAACAAAATGACGAAGCTGGCCCACATACATATTTGCCCCCATTTTGTAGGACTCAAGAAATGAACAAAAAAATTGCCATGAAAAGGTTAACTGAGAAAATTTTCCAACTTCGGCATAAGCAAACTGAGGAACAGCTCCGGAGTGAACGAGCCAAACTGGTAATCTTTTCTCTACAAGTAAATGCCATTCTGTGAGCATGTGCCTGTGTGTGCACGTCACGGCGGGACGCGACTCGACGCGACATAACGCAATGCAACCTCTGGGGGGGGACACCTCTTTGATTTCTTAGTTGCATCGGTTGCCCCAGCTCCACAGATGCCTTGCACCTCCTCATACATATATAAACACATTGCAGATAAAAGACAGTAATCGGAGCAGGCGCATCAGGACGTACAATGTCTTCAGGGGGTATATAACTGACCATGTGACGAAGCGGAAGCTGGACTTGATGTACTTCTTAAAGGTAAAGTTGGAATTTTTACTGAATGTGGATCGGTAGGAAGGTTGTTAACGGGGCCACGAAAAAAAAAACAAAACAAAAAAGAAGAGGAAGAGCAACAACAAGGCGTGGAGAGGGGGGAGACGTGCATGCACAAATTAATGCACACAATAGGCAACACAGAAGGCTACACATTAAGGCAAGGAAAGAGTTGGCCATTCTCCTCCCGTAGTAAGGAACTTCCCATGCGGAAATGTCCACGGGTGGGGGCCTCCCAATCGGCGCAAGGAACAGCCGTTCACTCGTCCACTCGTCCGCTTGCCCGTTGGTCAACTCGTGCGGAGGAATGAGGAGTAATCCCCCTGCGGTCCCCGATGCGGGGTATCCATCAGGCCCTACGCAGTTGCAACGGATAGGACGTGGTATGTGTGGGGTGCACATAAGTAATATTTCACATTTGTGCACATATCGGCATTGTCGAGGCGGCACACAAACAGGCAAATAAACTAACAAGAGGGTCGAAGATAGGGAAGCTAGCCAAACAGCTAACTGAAAAAGCTACAAATAAGAAGAAGAAAAAAAAAAAAGACTCATACAAGTCTCCTGTCAGCGCAGCAGAAAAAAAAAAGAAAAAAGGGTCACATCATCATGCATTTGTTTTTCATTTTGTAAGAGAGACTTCCCATCCGCAAGTCGTTAACTTCCTTCGAGCAGGTTATAACTGTGCCAATTCTTAGAGGTTCCCAGAAATTCTTCTGTGCGTACTTGGAATGGAAAGAATAATCCATTGAGACATCATCACCTCCTTTTTTTAAAATGCAATTAATCCCACCTGGGTGATGGCGGAGGATGGTTGTCACGTCGTATACGTACCCATTGGCCACCACCCAACAGTCATTCACATCACAGTGTCTTCTGATTTCACATTTGGTAAAATACTGTTTATACTCGATGTAATTATAGTATTTCATTTTTTTTTCTTCCCTTTCGCACTCGGAGTTGGTGAGACTTTTGCTCCTCCTGATGGCATCCTTTAGCGTTTTGTACTGGTCTCTCGTTTGGACTATTCCCTTTTCGTCACCCTCGTCGTTGGGGTTGCTCTGTTTTGACTTCGCGAGGCGTGCCGCGTTCTGTGGGTTCCTTGCTTTTGGGGGGTTCACCGTGTGTGCCGTTTCTAGATCATCTTCTCCTTCCACCAGTCCGCGCCGCCGCCTGGTCTGCCCATCCGAGAGACTCCGGGACAGTATCTCTGCGCGCGCTTTCATGTTCACCTTCAGCACAAGCTTAATTTCTTTTTGGCATATTCTCAGGTTGTGCTTCTTATATTTCTTGTATTTGTCGTAGAGGTTCTTCCTCTTTATTTTGCACCTTGCGCAGAGGATGGAGAAGCACACGTCTTCGCAGAAGTTGCACGCGTTGCACTTCTTGTCACCGTCTTTGTCATCGTCTTCGTTCCCTTTGTCGGGATCATCTGGCGGTTTCCCGGTTGGCCCATTGGGGGAGGTTTCACCTACCAGTGGAGATTCCTTTGAGGGGGGAAACCCTTCCTGGTGGGCCTCGTCCATCCGTTCACCTTCTTCCGAGCCGACCAAGTGGCTCACTTTCCTTTCTTGCCCCCCCTTGATATGTCCAATTGCGTGGAGTATCACCGGAGGTCCTGCCCCTCGGACGCCTTCGCTGTCTGCTTCTTCCTCTTCAACCTCCTCCATTTTTGTTCGCGGGTTGGTCTGGCAACTTGGCCTTCACTTGGCCTATGTCACTTTATGTGCGCCACTTTGGGAACCAGCTGGACGGCCTATCTTGCCGCTCTCCCCCGACGAACCACGCAGCAAAGTCACGCACCGGTGTCTGCGTCTGGGTGTTTCCGCAGATCTACAGGGCCCCCTTTTCTCGACTACAACAATCGATTGGGCAAATCACCTCCACTTGTTCTTTCCTTTCTGTGAGGAAAACTGGGACACCCCCCTTTCGTGCGTTGTTACTCGTGCGTGTAAATGTGCACCCACCCACATGATTGTGCAGTCTCGTGTAATTACGTCGCAGTTCTGCTGGTACTATGTTTTTTTTCTATTCTCCTTTTTCATGCGTGATGCTCGCTTTTAACGGGGGCGCCTCCTATTGGTGGCCTCGAATGACCGTGGAAAAGTCACGCTAAAGGGCCGATAACAAAATCGGCGCAGCTATGATTGCCCTGCGTTTGCCCCTTTCTCCCCGCGGGGGTCATTTTTCCATTAATGTTGCTGGCGTGGAGGAGTGTTCATGAGGGAGTTCCACCTGAAGAGCGGCCCACGTGAAAAGTGTCCAACCTGGAGTATCTTCCTACTGCTATCCCCTCAACTCTGCCTCGCCGCACACTCGGATGTAGCACCTGCATTTACCTGCAATATTCTTACCCGTTGCACTCACTACGCACGGGAACATCTGAAAGGAAACACGATTTGAAGGAGTGCCAACCTGAGATGGGAAACTTCTGTTTTAAATGTTTCGTGAAACGCGAAAGTTACGACCCTTCACGCCACGTCCTCCGATTGTTTCTTTTTCGTAACATAACGGGTTAGTGCAA